CTAAGGGATGAAGAATAATGAGTGGTTATTTCTTATAAGGATCTGTCTGAGTAACAACTTTGTCAGATTCATTGGATATCCAAGATTTTTAGTGACCCCTACATGATATAAGGGCTCTTTACTCATGAGGACATGAAATACATGTATTAAGGATATGTTTGTTGCATAATATAGGATAAGACTTGATAGTATAAGATCTGATAGTATAAGGTATAAGGCCTGATAGTATAAGGTCTGATTGAATTTTAATACTATCCAGCATTTGACATGGTATTGTATAAAATAATATATTGTATAAGATAATATCATCTAGTATTTAGTAATGCACTGTATAATACTATATAGGATAAAAGTAATTATTTTTAATAAAAATATATTTTAATAAAGAATTTATATAATTCTTCAAAAAATATCATATGATATTAATATTTATAAAAAACTATTGATCAGTGTGTTCAAAAAATAAAATAATTTTTATAAAAATAAAAATATTCAATATTTTAAAATTTAATATATTGAAAAATCAATATATTAAAATAATATTTTAATTTTTGAGAATTGCACTGGTCAACAATGTTAATACACTAATCCTTTATCAGGCCTAATCACTCTCCTTTAGTCCGGATTAAGTTATACATCGTGTTGATGTATTAAGGGATTCTGCTGTATAAACTTATATATACTATACGGTGTCACACTAAACAACTGAAAATGTCTTGACATATAGTATAAATTTATACTATCAGATCTTATACGTCACACCAAACAGACCGTATTAAACCTGAAATGAGTTTTTAAGAACAAGCCTACCAGTCAGTTTAAGATTAATATGGGGAGCGATCCAAAACAAATAGTGCATCATTTATTAAGTTTAAAGATGTCGTGTGATGTATATGATGTTTGTGTTACACTCATAACTAAAAGATTAATAATGTGTTTTATTTTTTTATTTTTTTTGGTAACGTTGTTTTAAATTTTTTTAATAATGCGTAAGAATGACTTGAATTTGTAACAATGACAATAGCCATGGGAAGAATAGTATAACTAAACTAAGAAGAGGTCATAGCGAAAACGACCCCATAAATAGATAGTAGTAAAATAAGATTAAGAGTAAATATTTTTTGTCCTCCACAAAAATCATGAAATTTATTTTAATCTCTTAGAAAAAAAAAAAAAGTTGACTTGTGGTCCATCTAAAATTTCAGTTTTTAAAAATTGTGATCCATCTAAAATTAAAAAAAGATCCACGTTAGTCTCTTAAGAAGAATTAATATGGGTAATTTTTTTCTAAGCGATTAAAATGAGTTCTGTGTTTTTTGTTGAGGACCCAAAAGAATATTTACTATAAAATGAACTACGCTATTTAACAATAGAATAAAATACTTTTGGGTCATCAATAAATATCACGGGACTCAATTAAATCCTTTAGAAAAAAATTCATTCGTGGTTCCTTTAAAATTCAAAATAGATCAATGTTAGTTCTTTCGAAGACTAATGTTGGTCTTCTTTGAATTTTAGAAGGACCATAATTTTCAATAATTGGGTTTATTTTGAATTTTAGAGAAATTACAAATCAACTTTTTTCCCTGAAGGATTAAGATAGGCTCCGTAATTTTTGTTGAGAACCCAAAATATACTTTACTCTTAACAATTTCAATAAGGAAAGTGGTCTACGAAATATTGATTCTCGAGCACCAATTATACTAAGTGATTGTTTGAGAATATATATATGCGTTTTATTAATCTCATTTTACATAAGATATGTATCTTATGTTGTAGAGAGAAACTAGGTGGGTCCCACCATTACAAGAAAAAAGAAAAAAGAAAAAAGTGAAGTGCGAAAACTGAAGTGAGAGAAAATAAGATAAACTATCTCATGTAGAAGGAGACTAATATTTCCCTATATATATATATATATATATATATATTTTAGTTTCTCTTCTTTTTATAACTAGAAGTTAGGCCAATTTTTTTTTTATAAAAGTTTTTATAATAAAAAGAGTTTTTTTTATAATAAAAAAGTGGATTAATTTTTTCATTTTACATAAGAAAATTTTCTCACGCTACACACTCAATACATAAGAAGGATCCACAAAAAAGTGAGAAGACAAAAAATAAAGAGGGGACCCATATTTTAATTGTGTGTGTAACATGGGAATTTTTTTTCATGTAAAATGAAAAAAATTAACCCAATAAAATAATGTCGGATTTGATGTTTGTCATTTTAAATGACATAAGTTATGTCATTTTAGGAGAAAAATAGACACAAGAAATGAAAATCATGGGAGAGAAAGTGAATGGCATTTTTTTTAATTTAAATTTTTAATAAAAAAATAATTTCTTGTGTCAATCTCTCTCTTAAAATGACATAACTTTATGTCATTTAAAATGACAAACACTTTTCCCAAAAATGTAAAAAGCCCAAAGTTTTTAGAAATAATTTTTTTAAGTGCATCAATTTTTTTTTTGAAATGAACAACTTTTAAATAATTTTAAGTTAATTCTTTTTTATATAATTGTAAATTTATTTTTAAAATCCTTTTTTTTAGCATTAACTTAAATAACTTTAAAAAATAAAATAAAATTGTCAACACAGGCTCTAAAAAAGTTAACTTATTTAACCAGAAAAACCGAAGAGTAGGTTTCTGTAGTCGACATAGATATTTTGTTTATATTCCCATCTTAATTAAATAGACGCATAAAATGCGCGAAGCAGTTGATTCAGTGCTAGTTAGATATACATTGACTAAAGAAACAATCTTTTCGAGGACTTTACCTATCAGCTACGTGACAACAATATAGATCAATGCGTGAGGTCATATTAAAATGAGTGACTATTAACTAACTACTAACAACTCCTCCTTGTTGAAAAGAGATACATCTACATCATCTACACTACCCACTATATTTATTATCAACATTTGTTATTGCTGTAATTTACATTTATATATTAAATTAAATTTATTTCTTAGACTAGTTTAATTAATTGTTTAGTATATTTTTTAAAAAACTTTTCAGTTAATTTTTTTGATTATAAATTTATATTATTTTGAGTTAATTATGGAATTTTTCGTTTTTCTCTCTCTAAATTTTACCTATTTTAATTATGCATATATCTTATATTTTTATATATTTTTTCTCTTAAATTTTTTCTTATAATTTAAATTTTTATCTAAATTTAAAAAGAATAAAGTATCTTTTGGGTCATCAAAAAATATCACAGGACCCAATTTAATCTTTAGAAGAAAAAAATCGACTAATGGTCCCTCAGAAAATTAAAAAGAGAACTAATATAGATCGTCTTTGAATTTTAAAGGAACCACAATTTCGATTAACTGAGTTTATTTTGAATTTTAGATAGATCACAAGTTGACTTTTTTTTAAGGGATTAAAATGGGTCCCATAATTTTTATTTAAAACTCAAAAAATACTTTACTCTTAAAAATATACTTACAATAGACCAAATAATTGCCAATTTAGTATATTAATTTTAATTGAAGCAGTGGCATTCCGGTTATAAGGATAAAGACGGATTAAAATGTGCAACTCCTTCCAAGATTCTTTGACTTTGAGCAAGTCAAAACTAAAGAATAATCAAAAGATATATTTAATCCAAAAGAAATATAAATATAAGAATTGTAAGTTATTTTTAACTACAATTGTAAGTTACAAGTGCGATTAATTCTTTTAGGAGTTACAATTTAAATGACGTTAAACATCTAAGCATTTATATTATTTATAAAAGACAATGTTTTTATTTATTTATTTATTTTTTAAATGCGCAAGATCAATCTTCTCAATATGAATTAAAAAAAAAGTTCAACTAATTGATGGTTTTTCATGAATGGTCAATATTAATGAACGAGCAATATATGAAAAGATTCCTTCTTAAAACATAGGGGGGAAGGTGTGAATTCATTATCATTAATTCCTGTTGAATCCCTACCTAATTTAATCACATCCATCTCTCAGTGAATAAGAAGTAACCACATGCAATGGCTCATCATAAAAGTCACAACCCATTGCCACCAGGTCCCTTCCCCATCAGGGGCGCACGCACGTTTATGCCTGTGTCTGCACTTCCAGAATTTTTTTTTTTTAAAGAGAGAATGATTAAGGTCAAGTAAAAAAAAAATATTTAAAAAGATTAAAAAAAAAAAGTAAACATAGATCGAATCATGATAGTTAAAATCGAAATCTTACCTAAAATCAGAAGAAGTATAAAAGATCGTAAAAAATAAAATCTTAACGTAAAAGAAATCATAAAATCGTAAAAGTGTTTAGAATTTTGAAAAAATCGTTTTAATTAAAAAAAAAATCACAAAATCACAAATTTAAATCAGAATTTTAACTAACATGGGTCCAACTCAACCCAACCCAACCCAACCCCTGTTGTATCATCTTATTTGACTCTTGATTATTTTACTCTTAAATTAAAATTTTCACATAAAAAAAAATTTCTGATCCGCCGGTGTTCTCCTTACAATACAATCCCTCTTCTCTTCCTTTCGAAGCTTCGGACCAGGCTGTGTGTGTTCTATTACTGCCACTTCGTCACCTCTGATTCCATCGAATCGTCTTTAGCGAAAGCACTTTTATCCACTACCATCCGCTCCACCAACCCCCGTCTAGTCCCTCGCCACCTGTCACAATTAAGCAGAGCATGGCCCACCAAAAAGAATAGAAATCCACGTTCCCCCTGAAATTACAATATAACGGAAACAAAGGGGGCAAAAGATATGTATAATAAAAAAGTAAAAAAAAGTAGCAAAAGACAAAACTAAATAGAGAGATAGTATTCGATGGTACACCAATGGCCCTGATTACGCGAACAGACACGAATCGAACGTCGTCAGGGATTTGCAGATCTGCACTGCGAAGCAGCTTATAGTTCCCAAACTCACTAGCCATTTTGTTTTGTTTTGTGTCACACTCGGCTTTGTTTGTTACTTGTAAACACTTAACAGACCTTGTTTTTGCTTTTCTCTGTTTCTGTCTCTGTCTCTGTCTCTGTCTCGTTCTCTCTTTCTCTTTCTCTCTCTCTCTCTCTCTAAAACTTTCTCACTCTACCTGACTGAAATTCTCTGGTTTTATCGTTTTCCCGGAAGTAGATCTCTGTCTTTCGCCGGCGGAAATAATCGGATCCGGGTGGAAGGGTCGAATCCCATGTGCGGACTTTGACTGTTGCCATGGGACAGTGCTACGGCAAGACCAATCCCACCGCGGAGAACGAAAATGAACATGACCCAAACACAACCACCATAATTGCCACCTCCGGCAACGATGACGGACCTCGCTCTCCGCTTCCCTCCGACGGCGGCTTCTCCAACGGGTTTCCGTCGGTTAAGAACACGCCAGCTCGGTCCTCCTCGCACGCCAGCCCATGGCCGAGCCCTTACCCTCACGGAGTAAACCCGAGCCCGTCTCCGGCGAGGGCCACGACTCCCAGGAGGTTTTTCAGGCGTCCTTTTCCGCCGCCGTCTCCGGCGAAGCATATAAGGGCGTCACTGGCGAAGAGGCTTGGGCAGGCGAAGCCGAAGGAAGGGCCAATCCCGGAGGAGGGTGGGGCGGAAGCGGAGCAGTCGCTGGATAAGAGCTTTGGGTATAGCAAGAACTTTGGAGCTAAGTATGAGTTGGGAAAGGAAGTGGGGAGAGGGCATTTTGGTCATACGTGCTCTGCAAGGGGCAAAAAGGGTGACCTCAAAGACCATCCTGTTGCTGTTAAAATCATTTCCAAGGCCAAGGTACAATGCTTCAATTCGCCGCTAATTTTATCCATCAATCTCTTTCCACAATCTGGTATTTTGCGAAAAAAAAAAAAACAAAAAAAACTTTAATGGTATTTTATATAGTTTTTTTTCCCGTTCTTTCTTTTTTGTATTTGTATTGTCTGTCTGAGCTAGTTGATTGCGATTGCTTTGGACACTTATGATGGCATTTGGACATTTCAAGTTTATTTTTTTTTATTTTTTTTTCGGTGTCGGTCTCTGGTTGATTCATTACCAGGAATCTATGAGATTCTTGGGCTATTGTAGCATGACATGATGCTTGTCCTGTAGTTATGCATTGTTTTTATCCCTTTCTTTCCTAGTGGTGATCGAACTAGGGACTGATTGGAATGTTTTCTGGCAAGAAATTAAGAAATTTCCTGCGAGGTTGGAGTCTTGAAAATCATATAACCCGTGTGTTCTGAAATTTATTGATTCCAAAAGTTTCTGTCAACGCTTAAACTGTTATCAAGGGACATTAAAAATAATGGAACATAGCACAATGAGATAAGGGGATAAGTTCTAAAACCAAGGTGCTTAGGAAAATTGTCGAGACAATGACTCGAGTGAATTTTTCCTTGAAAACAAAATATATTTATGAAAATCATGAGTGTGTGTCTGTAATAGCTGTCAGAGTAATGTTCAAGCTCTGTGAAAATTCTGCTAGTTTCCTTGTTATGAATGAAACCATTGTCCTTGCTGGATTTATCAAAACATCTATTTGATATTTTCGCATGTTTACCCCCTTAAATAATATGCGACATTGTTATTGTCAAATGAAACCACAGCTTATTTTTTCAATTTTTGCCTTTTCGAATATGTTTAGTTGTGCCTGCGTAGCCTCTAGATCTCCCATCATCTTTTCTCTTTCTTAACTTATGGAACTTCAACTAAGCAGTAACACTTTTTTTCCAAGTCCTCTGTCTCTTGCCATGTCAGCACAGTTTGTAGTGTGTTTGACTGTACACATATGTATGACTGTCCGTTGGTACTTACATGCAGTTTTGAGGTTTTTGACCGTACCAGTTCGTTTTTCAAAAGGTTTGACCGGATTAAGCTTTTGGTCAAACTTATTATCAGACTAATGCAGAGAGACGTGGCACTTGACATGCCGCGTCTAAACATGGTAGTCTACCTACCGCGTTTAGTGCTGATAAGAGACATGGCACCTGATATGCCACGTCTAAATGTGGTAGTCTACCTGCTGCGTTTAATATGCCTTCGCCATGTGGCATGGGAAAAGTGTTTATATTTGTCGTTACACTAAACGTGGTAGTGTGACTATCACATTTAGACGTGGCATGTCAGGTGCCACGTCTCTTGTCAACACTACACGCAGCAAGTAATCTACCACGTTTAGACGTGGCATATCAGGTGACATATTTCTCTGCATTAATCTGGTAATAAGTTTGACCAAGAACTTAATTCGGTTAAACTTTAAAAAACGAACTATTATCAAAAAGCCGCTGTTTTGTTATTTGCAAATTACTCGTATACTGAATACCTTTACTTAATTCTGGCACCATATTTATTTATGGGTTTTATATTTCTCATTCAACATGAGAATTGAATTCTCATGTTGTAGAGACAAAAAGTATGTGGGATCCGTATGTTAGAAAAAATTATGTGTAGGACCCACGTTGGCACGAAAATCGAAGTGTGTGTAGGAAAATTCAAATTCTCATGTTAAATGAGAATTATAAAACCCTTTATTTATTCGCAAAAGAAACAGGTTTGTCCGTCTTGTACTTTATGAAACCTATTTGGTACTATGTCTTAAAACAAACTTGCTATTTGGGCCAAAGAATTCTTTATGATATATATATGGGAAAAAGACTTCTCATGTTGCATGAGAAGTCTCTTCTTCTACCACTCTCACTTGTTGTTCGTGCCAATCACTTTTCTATTTTTTGTTTTTTTTCTTTAAGGTGGGCCCCACCCCTTTCTCTCTTTGTAGGAAAACTTGAATTTCTCATGCAACATGAGAAATTGCAAGCCATATATATATATATATCGGGTTTGATTTTCTCATGTTGCATGAGAATTCAATTCTCATGTTGTGACACAACTAGTGGTGGGCCCCACATTTATTAAAAAAAAAAAAGCTTTACACGCAAATCGAAGGGTCACAACATGAGAATTGAATTCTCATGCAACATGAGAAAATGTTTTCCCTATATATATATAACTGTAGTTATTACCACGTCATTTAATTCATATAGTCATGGCTTATGTACTATATTTATTTAATCGATGCTTAACTTTTGATTAATTGGTAATTTGGTGATATGTTTAATCAACTTTTTACTGCATCTTAATAAGATTGATTTGACAGATGACCACAGCAATAGCGATTGAAGATGTTCGTAGGGAGGTGAAGCTGTTAAGAGCTCTATCTGGGCATAAGCATCTCGTCAAATTTCATGATGCTTGTGAGGATGCCAATAATGTGTACATAGTTATGGAGTATGTCTTTTATCTTGTTTTCAGTATTATCTATAATGAGAATTTGGGGTTGGATTTATAGAGAACTGAATCTTTGTTATATTTTCACTGTACATGTTTTCTCATTGAACTATGGAAAGTAATTGTTGCTCTTATACCCATTGCTTTGCTGTCAGTCTCTGCAATTAATTTCCAGTTTCTCAGTTTTATGATTCTTTTTTATTCATGCTTTTCCTTGTTAGAATTTTTCTCTGCATTCAATCACACCTTTGTAATACATGATAAAATGCTTATAAGTCTCTGCCCAAAATATTTGATGGAGGATGCTTTATGCTTAGTTATAGTTGAATTGTGGGAGCATGCATCTTCTAATGTGGCATCGTCACATATTAACACCTTTTGTGCTATTTTATTTTCTCGTCAGATTGTGTGAAGGTGGGGAGCTTCTTGACCGAATTTTGTCAAGGTTAGTTTTTACTTTTATATTATATTTGTGATATGTGATTTTCTAAGGGGGTGCGCTTTAAGGCAACCATAAGGGGACTTTGACCATGTTGCTACGTTTCCCCAAAAAATTTACCTGAATGCCACATTGCCTGGAAATTTTGCCAAACTGCCATGACATCAAACTTGTTGCCAGTTGCAGCGGGTTTCATTTGCCACATGGCACATTTCTTGAGGCCACCAAACTCGTTGTCAGTAGCAACAACTTTGAGATTCAAAGCAACCAGAGTACTTTCTACAACAGGGACACGTGGCAAGCAACTTGAAACTCGCTGTCAGAGTCTGACGTGTCAGACAAGAACTCGCTGCCACTAACAATGAGTTTTGTGCTGCCTGACACACGTCATAAACTCGATAGTACTCCTAGCGGGTTTCAAGCTATATAAACCTCTACCCCGCTCCCCCATTCGCAACATCCCTCCTTTGAGTAAATAAAAGGCTCTCATTCTCCCGATTCAAAACATCCCACTGTTTTTGTCAGTGTTATTTCTTTCTCCTGGGTTTTTTTTTTTTTTACAAAATGAGTGACAAAAATGATTCAATAATTGCCATTCTGTGCCACAATAAGAGGAGATTTTTTGGTTCTAATGGTCGAATTTTTGAAGCAGATGTGAAAATGTTCCGCATGAGCTCCCAGTGTAGTTATAATGATATGAAGAAGACAATATACCAGAAGTTAAGATTACAACGGGGTCAATCTATGTCTCGGTTGACTGCTAGATGTGCCTCGGGTAAAGATAATTGATTTCTTGTGGAGATTGTTGAGGATGAAGATGTCGCATTAATAACAGATGCATTTTGAAATCAACGAGACTCCACATTTATTAAACTGTATGCGGAAGTAAACTTTGGTGGACAATCTAGCAGTCAACATCCCCTCCCTTCAATTCAATCTATTGACATTAACATGGAGCTGCATATAACCAAAATAAAACATGCCATCTATCCTAGGGTTTCAAATTCTAACCTATACTAATAATGTATAACTAAAAAGAGAGAGAAGCTAACCTTGAGAGAAAAGACAACCTTGATAGAGAGAGAAAAGACAACCTTGATAGAGAGAGAAATTTTTAGAGAGAAACTTTTGTAGAGATAGAATGAAAGTGGAGAATGAAGGGTGGGGAAGGGGAGGAAATCGGTTGGGTATATATAGTGATAAACGCGCTGCCAGTTGCAGCGGTTGTTGTATAGTACTCACTGCAACTGACAGTGTCAGTGTCCAAAATGCAGAAAATTATTTGACCGTTGTCAAATAGTGGTCGCTGCAACCCCCTCCCCTCCCCCCCCCAAAAAAAAATGAGTTTCTTTGGGCTTGCCACGTGTCTCTGCTTCAGTGTTGTAGTCTGATTGCTTTGACCGTCAAAGTTGTTGTCACTAATAGCGAGTTTGGTGGACTCACAAAATGTGCCACGTGGCAAACGAAACCTGCTACAACTGGCAGCGGGTTTGATGCCGTGGCAGTTTGACAAAATTTTCAGGCAGCGCGGCATTTAGGTAAATTTTTCTGGGGAAACGTGGAAACATGGTCAAAGTCCCCAACTAGTGCTCACAGTTTCTAGTTGTGGAAACAGCCTCTTTGTTTACTGGGTAAGGATGTGTACATCTATCATCTGCCCCTCTTCAGACACCATAATGTTCTGACATTGTGTACTTGGTTGTCTTTTTTTTTTTTTGGTGATTTTAACTTGATATAATCTTTTAGTTTGATTGAAGAGTGTTCCCTTCTATTCTAGGGGAGGAAAGTATACAGAGGAGGATGCGAAGATTATAGTTTTGCAGGTTCTAAGCATAGTTGCTTTTTGTCATCTTCAGGGTGTTATGCACCGTGACCTGAAACCCGAGGTTTGTCCACTAAATCTTCGTTCCTGTAATTTGTATCATCTAGTCCTTTTTTTACCTCACGTGTGCTTAATTATGTAAGGAATGTTGCTGATTCTTTGTCTGATAATATTTGCTTTTACAGAATTTTCTCTTCACTTCAAGAAGTGAAGATGCTGATATGAAGCTTATTGATTTTGGTCTGTCTGACTTCATCAGGCCAGGTAATAATTAGAGTGATTCTCAATTTTCATTTTCCTTGCAAAACAGTCCTTTTTTACTGTTAATATATTAAATAGGCTAGTTGCAACTGAATGCACACTTTACTGGTGCTGCTTACTTTTGCATTACATTGTGTTGTGGCTATCGAAACTATAGTAGTGGTCGTAGTTCTAAGCATTTAGCCATTTTATTTTATTCTCTTCTAATTTTGGCTGCCTATTGAAAATTCACAAGGATTTTATGTCTCACCACAAGGTTCCACTCCTCATCCATCAATGAGTGTCTTAAACATTTTAAAACTGAAAACAACTGAAAAAATTGACTGACATGATCAGCTTGGTTTCCTAATGAATTCTTCACATTTTACATACGCCGATATGATGAAGGAAAGGAAATTCTTAATGATATGTGACACTAGAAACCACTTAGTTTCTTAACGGCTGGGTTATAGTCCTCATCCTTAATGCATATGTGACACTAGGAAGTGCTTATAGTATCTAGTATTTTTGTCTTGGTGGTCTCGTCCCTTTTAGTCATTATCCAAGACTGCTGTTGCCTTTCATTCATTCTCTGTTAGATGTTTGTGGATATAATGTCAATCATCTGAATTTTCCCTTCATGCGTGTTGCCGTACAGATGAACGTCTGAATGACATTGTTGGGAGTGCATATTATGTTGCACCTGAGGTCCTTCACAGGTCATATAGTGTGGAAGCAGATATATGGAGCATTGGTGTAATTACCTACATCTTATTGTGTGGAAGTAGACCTTTCTGGGCACGAACAGAATCTGGAATTTTTCGTGCAGTGCTCAGAGCTGATCCTAACTTTGATGATTTACCTTGGCCATCTGTATCTGCAGAGGCCAAGGACTTTGTTAAAAGGCTGCTAAACAAGGACTACAGGAAAAGAATGACTGCTGCCCAAGCTTTAAGTAAGTTGTCCTATCCACTTGGACTGTATGGCAGGTATTAGATGCCTGTGTAATGTTCCTTTATTGATCATCATGAACTTATTTTTGGTAATCTCACATCAAAGAATAGCATTTTGACATTATTATTATAAATTGAAATATTGGTTAAATACATCCATCTTGGTTGTTTGAGGAATTTCACACCCTAGCTATCCTTCCTCAACAAGATGGAGAAAATAAATCAGCATTGTGAAAAACTCTCAATTGTGTTTCTGCTATTTCTACCATTTAGCAGAGGAGTTTATGTTATGGCAGGTAGACAGCCAAATGATAACTTATTTTGTTCTATAAGTAGTAGATGTACATAATGGTAGTAAATAAGTTATTGCAAATTGAATTTTAAAACTAATTGATGCACGCTTGTGCAATTGCAGCTCACCCTTGGTTGAGGGATGACAGCCGTCCTATCCCTTTAGATATATTAATTTTTAAATTGGTGAAGTCGTATCTTCATGCGACGCCATTCAAACGAGCAGCACTGAAGGTATTGTTTTTTTCATTTCCTTGAATATATGCTTATGCTCAGTTGAACTTTTAGTGGATGTGTAGTTTGTTTTTTGTTTTCATTTTTAATTGATATATTTTCTTTAACAATCACAAAAATGCCAATTGTTTTTGTTTTGTATCTTGTTTTGAAATTTTTTAATTGTATCTTGTTTTCACCATTTCCTTTGTAAAGTTTTTAAACCAGGAGACAAAATGAAAACAAGATAGAATTTTTGTAATTATTAATTAAAACACATAAACTGAAAATGAAAACAGAATACAAACCTAACATCCCCTTAGCTTCTTTGATTTTTTTCTTCCTTCCTATTTTGTGTTGCACGTGTCTGCACTGAATTTATATGCATTTTTCATTGTATATTTTACTTGTTTTTTCTATGCAATTATTTCTTCATCCCTTCTCAACAGATGTTACATGCTTATTTCATTTTGAGTTTTTACTATATTGATCTATATAATCATTATGATGTTTAGGTGTGTATACTACTTTAATATGCTTCATGTTAATGAAAAAACAATTCTGTGGTGTTAAGGGTCTATTATAAATTATGATAGTTGTATGACAAAAATTTTGAGGGATTGTTCTCTCTCTCTCTCTCTCTTTCTTAAATTTTCACACATTCATTTTATGAAAGCTGATATTAGAGGATTGTCTATTCAAGTTTTTTCCTTTTCTTTTTTCTGCACTTGACTCAGACTCGTCTTTTATCCAGGCCCTTGCAAAAGCCTTGACAGAGGATCAGCTTGTGTATCTTAGAGCGCAATTCATATTGTTGGAACCAAATAGAGATGGGCATGTCTCCCTTGACAATTTCAAAATGGTTATCATCTGATTCACTGTTAATTCTTCCAGTTTTGTTATGGTTAATAGAATCAAGTTTGATTTTTCTTTCTGTATTTTGGGTGTGTGAGAGAGAGAGGATGGTCATTTTATTGGCACAACTTGCTCATTTCTGCATTGTTTTTTTTTCTTCCCCTTGTTCATACCTGTTGAGTTTTTCCTGTTTTGAAAGTTTGTGGTCTTTCATTGCTCCCTATCATTTCTCTTATGACTTTTGATCATTATGAATCAGTTTGAAATTGAACTTTGCAGGCTCTTGTACGTCATGCAACTGATGCCATGAGGGAATCAAGGGTTCTTGACATCATACATGCGGTGAGCCATTATTCTTATATGATATGTATGAACTAAATATCTTTGGCCATAGCTATGCCATTGTTTTTGCTTTTTTGTTTGTATCTGTTCCTAGCTATTCATTTTTGGAAATTTGGCCCAAGCAACGAGTATTCTGACCAGTGTTTTAAAACTCGGCTTGGTCGTTGATTCGGTCGAAGTACTGAGTCATTGGTTCAACCGAATCTACTGTTTACATATGAAAAAAGTATAAATATATATTAAACATTCACGAAGAAAACTAGCTGAGAATTCCTGCATCCTTTGTTAAAGTTGGCTGAGAATTCCTCTTATGAAAAACATGTAAAGTATTGATTCCAAATCCATTTTAACAAACCAAAAAATGTCATTGACACAAATTACTGAACAACCCCATTATTGCCATCAAGTAGCAGACAAAACCACAGACAAGTATCAATGTTATGCAAGTTGAATGTGTAGTACTATAGTTCAGACATTTTATCAAACAGATACAGTGCATCTTGTACTGAAATTACTATGTACTAACCCTCTATTGTATATGCATGCCCAAATTGAACTACAATAACCAAAATCGATTCATCACTAGCTCAATAGAGAATTTGACTAGAAAGATCCGCTTTCAATAATCATAGAAGATCTTCATAATTCAAAATTCAAAGAATCAAAAATAGTATCCAACATGATGCATATCAGCATATCCTTTGTCTAGAACAATATAAGAAACCCAAACCTCAAATGCGCCTCTGTTTTCCCCTCCAAAAGCGTTCTCAGTTGTTGCCCTCCAAACCCCACCTTCTCAAGTGCTAGCACACTTTCCATCAACAGCAAACCAAAAAGGGAATGCAAGAATCCTTATAACTACTTCTCAATTCACAGTGGCAATAGGAGACATACTCAGAAATAATAGAAAATACCCAGAAAAAATTTAACGAACCTGGTCCTAGAGGTTGAGGCGCTTCCCCCAGCCACAGGGGAACTGCAAGTCGAGATCCAATGGCAGCAAAGTTTATGTGATGAAAGCTCGTCCTTTATTCAAAACCCGGTTGCTGTTTGTGCCATGGCCTCAAAGAGAAGCTTCAAGCTGCATTCTTGCTCTCTGGCCGAGTGGGTTACCAGCAATCTTTGATTGGATGTTGGGTTTTTGATTTTGATATTGGGTTTTCTCATAGACTGTCACTAATGTTCCACTTCCACATCGACCACGACATGAAAAAGAACTCAATTTATAAACCTTTCGGATGAACTTATGCCAACTTGCGTTGCTTATCTTTTGTTGAGATATATAGTCCCACATTGGTTGTATGAGCAACTAATATGGCCTTTCTAAGGTCTTGGGCACTCCCACAGTTTGAGCTAGCTTTTGGGGTGGTGTATCCCAAGGTTCTTTACATGGTATCAGAGCCTCGTGTCTCGGGTTCGATCCTCAATGTGTGAGGGGGCGTGTTGAGATATATAGTCTCACATTGGTTGTATGAGTAACTATGCTAGCTTTTGGGGTGGTGTATCCCAAGTTCTTTACATCTTTCATTAGCTGCTGGGTTATTAACGACCGGTTAATGGACCGGTTTTTGGGTTGATCCGGCCGGTTCAGCGGAGTTTTAAAACACTCTGCATATAGAAAGTATCCAATGCACATTAGATTCGTGATGTACCTAGCCATAGCTATGCTGTTGCATTTGCTTTTGTGTATTTATGTTCCTAGCTATACAATTTTGGAAATTCGGCACTAGCAACGAGTCTTCTTACTAAATGTGAAGAACCTGTTCTGGAAGTAATATCCAATGCACATTAGATTGGTGATGTACGATTGCATTTGCATCGTTGTTTATAAGATCTTATTTGAGCTAAGTGTTGGGAATTAGACTGTTAAGTGCCACAATCGCATTATTGAGTGCATGTTGTTACATGGTTATCATTCCTTATTAATCTTAAAATTACTTCTTTAGTTGTAACACGTTGCTTATATCCCCTAGACTTCTGCTTGTTGTTTAAATATTTATTATTTTATTCTTACAATAATGGGGAAACTGCTCTAGACCATAATTCCCTGTTTTGACCAAACATCTTTCATTTTCGTGCTTGAATAATTTTATAGATGGAACCACTTGCCTACAGAAAGATGGATTTTGAAGAATTTTGTGCAGCTGCAACTAGCACATATCAATTGGAGGCACTTGATAGGTGGGAAGATATTGCCAGCACTGCTTTTGAGCATTTTGAGGGAGAGGGCAACCGGGTGATATCGATTGAAGAATTAGCAAGGGTAAGTGTTATAGTTTCTTTTCTTTAAATAGTGTATGTCTACATTTTTCAGGTTTGACCTGGACTTTGGAGTTATGCTGGTCTGTTTTTTTATCTTTTATTTTTTATTATGTCATCAGGAACTGAATCTTGGTCCTTCATCTTATTCAATTCTCAAAGATTGGATACGAAATACTGATGGAAAACTTAGTTTACTCGGATATACAAAATTTTTGCATGGCGTGACTCTCCGGACTTCAATCCCAAGACCCCGTTAGTCTTAAGCCCTTCGACATATAAAGGTGGGGAAAGAAAGATCGATAGGTTTTTAAGGAAATTTTTTTCTTGATTTTAATTTCTGGGTGGGGGAAAAGAAGAATGTGTATAAATTAATGTGTTAGCAAAGCTAATATGGGAAATGTTGAGTCAATTCCCTTGCCCTATTTTGCAGATGATATGTTCCTACGGGTTTGAGCCCATGCTTATTCATTTGTTTGTGAATGCCGAAAAGGACTACAAAGTCAAAATTAAAGTAATTTGCATCAATATGGCTTTTTACTGTCATTATCTGGTAATTAATTTTATTACGTTTCTGAAGATTACACTACTATAAAATTATCTGAGAGCTAATTAAAGTTTTTTCGTGTGCCATATTGAGACTATGGTTATAGTATGTGTGTAATCAACCAATTGGGTTAAAGTGAAGACTGAAGACTGCGAAGACAGGACGTAAGCCTTTTACATATTTGATGAATATGAACAAACAACAAGAAGCTCTCATATAGTGTTTTAAAACTCGGACCCGGATCATTGAGTCACTGGTTCAACCGGGTTGAACCAGATTTACTGTTCACACATTAAAAATATAAAAATATTACTTATATTAATAAAAATTCACATAAAAAAACTATCAATGAGCTTCAAAAAAATAAATTGATTTTCAATGATAACAAATATTATATACTTCTAAGCTTCTAGCTCTAGACCATATCCTAATATTGGATGAAAATTACAATATAAGTTAAATGCACCTTTTATGCTTGACATTATACGGATAAATTAAATCATGATAACAAATAGTATGCATGAAATATACACTAAAAAAAAAATGTCACCGTTATCATGATAACAAATAGCATGCATGAAATATACACTAAAAAAAAGTGTCTACCATTGAGATGAGATAACGAGACTATCAGTGTTTATCACCACTTAACTTTATGAGATCATTATAAGATGCAACTAAATTACATAAACTTACTGCATTAATCTAAAATATCTTATTATTTTCACCTTACTTTTAATCATATTCATCATAAAATATAAATATAATTTAATTCAAGAGTTCTTATCAACAAAAAAAAATTACTAAAAAAAAAGGAATAACCGGTCTAACCCGGGTCGGCCGGGTCACCGGGTTTCGGTTGAGTCAACCGGTCCAATCTGAGTTAACTGCAAAAGCAGTCTAATTACCTGCTCAGATCAGAGAACTCACCGGGTCACCGAGTCACCGAGTTTTAGTTCGACCCGGTCGGTTTGAGCCGAGTTTTAAAGCACAGCTCTCATGTCAAATGAGTCAACTAGTGCTAGTATTTAGTCAAGTTTGTTAAAGTCCAGCGTTTATCTTTCCTAAGAGAGAGGAAAATTTGACGAGCTTGCTTTCCTGAGCTTGTCTTCAAATCAATATGATTGGCTGCTCACGGTAGTCATCATTGCTCGTCATTGTAAAGGAAAGAAAAGAAAATAATCTCTCATTTAACTCGCGTGCAAACCAAGAGCGTAATTATTTCTAGTTGAGTTTGGACTCTTCTAATAGGCAGATCAAGGCTAGTAAATCCTATGCCTGAAAATTGTAATTGAATAAATGATTGTGTTTGGTTCGGAGCTTTTAAGCGGATATATATGTTTTTCAAGTATGGCTTTTAGAAATACCATGTTTGTTTCAACGTATTTTCACCAAAAATCCATCTATCCAATTTGTATGGATTTATGAGAAACATAGATATCCGCACTGTTTAGAAACCCAATTTGAAGGTGGGATTTTTTGGAAAACCGATTATCTGGCTTTTAATGCACTGTTGATTTCATAAAGTTACCTAATTTTTTCAGTAAAGTTTTTCCCCACCAAACAATTTTTTTTTTACATTTTTCTACCTATCTCACTTTATCTATCTTTCCAATCATTTCTTTATCTATTACATTTCCCTACTATTCCAAAAAAATTTCCTCAACCAAATACCCCCTTAGTATAGTTTCATATAATATTATTAAATTTGAACTGATCATTAACTCATTGGATTAATGGATTGTTAATTCTTGATTGAACTGAATTTGTATAATAATATATAATACATATAATTATAAGTATATTTTAGAACAAAAGTTACTTTGGTACAGTGATTAACTTTTTCATGTATTTATGTCAAAGGCTCATGGTTCGATTGTCATTACCTACAAAATTTATTCTCATCTAAAGAAAAATAGATTAAGAAATAAGCTATTCTTAAGATAATATAATCTAACTTAATATGTAAAAAGTATACCTTGTGAGTTGTGATCAAGATACATTGACTTCTGAGTCAAGATTATTTTCACACCTAAAAAGTAGGGGTGATAACTTTTAACACGACTCATGTTTGGATTGACTCATTTTTAAATTCACGTCGAATTTGTGTTGTCAAAGCTAATATAAAATTTGTGTCGTGTTGTGTCGCGTGTCAATTCGTAAATACGAAATTGACCCGTGTTATTCTTTTTACAGTTATTCATGTTGTTTCATATTATGTAAACCCGTATAATAAATTACACACTTTGAGGCTGATAGGTTATTGGTATTGTATCACGTTATGTCGTATCAACTCGCACAATAAACAACACATTTTGAGGTTAGTGAATTATTCGTATCGTGTCTTGTTAACTCGCAAAATAAGCTAATTGTGTTTGTGTCAAAGGTTTTAACCCATTTTCAAATTCGTGTAGTATTTGTGTCTAATATATTCATATTTGTGCCATGTCGTGTCAATTTGAAATGTCATCTCAATATAAAAGGTTGAAAACATTTTATTAGGGAGTGAATCTTCTCATGTTAAAATTTCACATGATCTAATGATATAAAATTTTTATGTTTATCTCTCTCTTCATTAATGATAATTGTACCCTAATGAAGAGAGAAGATATACAAATTTCATATGATTTGGAGAATCCATTCCCATTTTATTATGTTAACAAATGACACAACACCTACAATTTCTTTGATCTTTTTCTTCAATCTACACCATAATACCACATATTTATACACATTTAATCATCTAACTACATAACTGCCCAGATTAGTTGCATTTACAACAACCTATAACTAACCACGCTGTAAATTTATGATTGCTCAACCTTTTTTTCCACGACCGACTGACGTACCTTCCTCCGGTCAGGATTCGTAACAAATATTAAACAGTCATAAAAAAAGGACAAAATTCAGTTAGAATATGCTCGAATTCAAATAAAATTGTTTGTTGAGTTAAAGTGGTTAGATCCTTCTTCAATCTAAGAATCAATATAATTTTGTAACTCATTTTAACAAAAGAATTGTTACTTTCTTTTATTATTAACATCAGACACTTCCCAATCTCTTACATATAGTTATAATTCATCTAAAAAGGATAAAACTATAAATATATCTAATTACTCATTCAAAGATTTGAAGATAAGTATAAAAATTATGAAACTTATTATTTCCCATTATAATTATTTTTAACACTTATTATTTTTTCACAGTTGTAATTCACTTAATTTCAGTCACTCATTCTTATTCATTGCTCATATTAAAAAAAATGTTAATTTGACTTCTACCGATCAATTCGTAGTAGTGTATTTAATTAAGAGAATGCTTTACTCATGTTATATAAAATAATTTTGTCTTAGTCATACGATATTGAGTAGAACTCAATAATAAGAAGATAGAAACAAAAAAAGTTGATACCGTCCATTTTTGTGTGTGAGAATTGTATTCCTCATGTAATCATCTTTCTTAGAAACGAGCTGAGATGGTATAAAAAAAAAAAAAAAACTGACATGATTATCTAAATAAACGGTGAGCAGAGAGTTAGTTCGAAAGTTATGGTCGATTGGTCGTTACTATTTAAACGAGGTCAACTAGTTGACTGATATGTCTATCAAAATAAACAAATGACTATAAGGGGGCGTTTGGTTGAGGAGAAATTTTTTGAATACTAGGGAAATGGTTGGAAAGTGAGTTTGGTAGGAAAATGTAAAAAAAGTTGTTTGGTTGGAAAAAAATTTACTGGGCAAATCAGATAAGATTTATAAAGTCTATGTTTGGTTTGAGGTAAAATATAGATGGGGAAATAAGTGAC